ATATGCGGGTATTGCAGTGACGAACTACGGAGGAACAAGAAGTTTCTTTATGTTTTCCTTGGGAGTGTGTTAGATTGGTGGACATTCATGGAGATTCGTGTTGGGTGTTTAAGGGTACCCGGACAACCTCCTGCTATGTTGCCTAATTTCGAAAACAAACGCAAGAGCGCCAGAAAATGCACTAGAGACACATAAGACCAGTCGGAAGGCATCGCAAAAAAAACAAGTCCAAAATTCTGGCACAGGGCAGCAGTAGAGACCGCTCAAAACGTGCTTTTCGCGCGTCTACCTCCACACGCATCCTTTGAAACCAAGATAAAAATCCACACCAGTCTAAATTCAAGTCAAAAGAGCCCAAACGGAAGGCGCTCAAATAAGGCCGGTGTTGCTAGGAACCTGGTCCATTGTACCAATATCACTAGAGGACACCCTATAGCAGCGGGGGGGTGTGTTGGCGCGCTCAAAACTTCTTCTGTGGTGGTGGTATCGAGTGTCGTTGTAGTGGCCCACAATCTCCGCAAATCTCCGCAAGTTAGATCGACACCCAGTGTCTTGTACTGCTTGTGCTCGCCGCCACTGAACCCAATCTTCTGAACTGCAGGTTTACAGCAGTAGCTGATGCCACCAGCTACTGCTGACAACCCGCAGTTGAGGGGTTTGCGGTCCGTGGTGGTGAGCACCGCTGTGACAAGTGTTGGGTTCCGCTTGGTTCCGGCGCAGATTTCGGACCGTTTTCAGAGGCTGCTGCGACCTTCGATATTTCAGCCCCAGTAGTATACCTGAACGTGCCAGCACGCACGACGCCTCTTGATGATATCCTCTACTGATACTAGCACAACGGACCAGGTTCCGCCGGCGGGAAGGTTGTTTTCTTTCTTTGTACTGTTATAAAGTATTAGAAAAGAGCCAGCGTCAAAATCCCTTGTCTGGGTACCCTTAGTCTAAGCGTGATGCGTGACTTGATGCCGTGATGGAATGACGAGCTCAAGAACGCCCCCGATGAATACAACACGTTTTCCAACACGTTTTTCAACGCGTCTGCACGTCGTTACCTACCCCTACGGCCCGTCATGGCCGAGCTGCTCTACACTCCCATCACACACAACTTTGCCACCCGAATTATCGATCACACGGGACTGCGAACTAATGTTGTACATAATTGGGAGACGCCAGCCATTGTTTCTCCAGGTCTTTACTTGAAGTTGTAGGCTACGGATACAAGCAAAAAGTTGGTGGATCTGCGCTGCTTCTTCGTGTCCCGGGGAGGGTGAACAAGTCTTGTAAGTCTCGGTATGTATGGACAGTCTAGCTGCACAGCCATTCTAATCGGAAATATGCGTCATATGCATACCAAGTCATACAGGGGGTCTGCCAGCTTGTGTCTGGTCCGCAGCCCAAATCCCGCTGGTCCCTTGGTCCGCTGGTTGGTACGGACTGCGAAGGGGCACACCGGTCGGCCAAGCACCGGCCCCATGCTGGATGCCGTTGTTACTTCTACAAAAATGATACCGATAGTACACCCTCAGCGCTTGGCGACAGAGTGTGATTCGCTGCTGTCTCTGTCTATCTGTCGGTTGGCCTCTGTCTCTCTCGTTCCCCGCCCTCTCTCTGTCGCTAGACTACAGCAGTATCTACTCTTCTACACTCTCAATGTCGGTGGTGCAGCCAGGCGGCGCATAATCTTTCGAGATTACCCGCTATGCAGGAATGGGATGCGAACGGACACGGTACACCAACTTACATGTGGCCGAAAGGGTCGAGGCTCGAAGGCGTGTCCTCCCGCCCCCCCTACTCATCAATTGCATGGTGACTCAGGCTGGGATGTACATACTCTTTCATTGTATTGCTTGCTTGCCCGTGTGCCTGTTTGTGTTGTTGTTGTTGTCTTAACATTAACATCATTAGGCTATATACCATATCTTAATAAGGAGTGCATTTTTTCGCGAAGCATGACGCTCTGCAGCGAAGCATGACGCTCTGCAGTAGCAGCACATTGTTGCTGCCTTTTTCTCACCTGCGGTAGCCCCAGTCGACTCCTCATTGTGAAAGCGTTGGAAGCCCGGGTCATAGGCAGCAGCAGCGCACGCACTATCCTTCTTCGTGACGCAGTCAAACAAGGCAAGGACGGCTCCAACTGGATCTGGGCACCCGCTCACATCCGCATCAGCAGCAGTTAATGATGAACAGCTCGTGTCTTCTTTCGCAGCTACCGCAGCAGCAGCGAATAGGAGATAAGCCCCCGTGACAAGGGCAGATGAGAATTTCATGGTGCAGGGCGTTTGTTCGTAGTTCGCAGGCCAGTTGAACGTTTGTGCGCGGTGAGGGGCAGGCGGAGGAGTTGTGCGATTGAGTGAAGGGTGTGGGCGGCTTGTGTGGGTATTTTTTATTATTATTTGCATCGACCGTGCCATCCGGCTGACCAATGAAACGCCGTCAGTGCCAGCGGTTAAACTCAAGGTCCCCGGAAGGGGGCCAAAATTCGAAAAATGCGCAATGCGCTACATACGAAGGATGAACGCTGCGTTGTTAGCTCTCTCCCTGTTGTTGTTGTTGTTGTTGTTGTTGTTTTGTTGTTGTTGTTGCTATTGTCTTCAAATAAAAAAGCGTTCCGTTCTCGCCTCACTTATAGTAGTCTAACACTTGACGACGGGGTCGATTCCTCCCGTGGTCACAGGCTAACTCGCCAAAAAAGGTATTATAGTCTGTAGTCTACGTAGTAGAGAGACACTAAAACACTAAACATAAATGGACCCGCCGCGTAATAATATTATTTCACAGAGACGCGCTTCCTCACAGCTCCATACATACATGCCTCGCCCGAACCTAGTCACTGATGCAAAGAGCGGAGGACAGCAAAAGGGCTAATTCAAGCCCAGCCAAGCCAAGATATCGTGGTATGTATGCTCCGTATGTAAACTATGCGACTTGTGTCCTACAGAAGGACGGATTTTCGGGCAGTGCAGGAAGGAAACGCGGACAAAAAGTGCTTTTCCTTTTCTTCGTTTCGTCCTTTTCGTCCGTTTTTGTTCTTCCGTTGTTTTTTTTCCGTGGAACGCGTTGTTCATATCTGCATATTCGAACGATCTACTTCGTTGGAAAAGTGACGTAATATCTGGTCGTTGTGGGGTAATCGAGCCTCTCACGAAAGATTTCCCAGGTTAAGCAGCAGGTGACCATGCATGAAAAAAAATGTCTGGTTGACCCTAGACTAGATTACCCATGGGGGAGATATCACTCACTGCTGTGTGCTGCTCGGGAAATCGTGGAAAAACAGAACTAACTTTCGCTGATCTAAACCTGAGAATCCTTTCGTCGATGGAGGAGATGGATTCGTTGGGTTATACTGATGAATGAAATGTAGATTATATATACACAATGTAAAGAAGAACAAGCGTGTACTCATTTGTATATATATTATAGGAGTTTTTTCCGCGCGCGAAGCGCGCGTGCGAAAAAAAAACTGAGCGATAGCGGAGTTTTTTTTTCGCAAAAAAACTGTTTTAGATGGGTCCTTTTGTTTCCCCGCCTGGGTTCTGCGCACGTTGAATAACACCGCCTGTCAGCCCGACCCCTGAATTAATTACTGTTCTCAAATTGATGTCCATGTGTAGAGTTATTTAAAACTCAAAAATTTGCCCAAATGCCCGCACAGTCCCGCGAATTTGGGAAATATGAGTTGTAAATGTCAGCTTTGTTTGGGGTGAAAAACACCATAACGACCAAAAATTTTTGGACGTAGCCCGCCAAGGCGCGAAGTCCAAATACCCCACGGCTGAGAACATATGCTGCCCTACCCCCCATGAAGTTCTTCTTGTCTCAAGCCATCACCCCTCCGGTTAGCTTACGCACGGCACAGCACCTGAACCACTCTAGCGAAGAGCACGCACGCCCCCCACCAAGCGCCACCACACACCCTGTACAACATCGCCGCCCTCCTGGAGACAGCCTTCACATCGGTAGATCATGAGCTCCCCTGGCAACCTTGAGTGCAGCGGTGCGCACCCCCCAGCGGCTCCTCAAATGTCCAGCTCCACGAATGTCCTCGGCAAGCGCCATGCGGAGGAGGCCGTGACCGGGGGGCAACCGCCACGGCAGAGAGCGGTGAGCCCTGTTGGACATGGGGGTAATGACCCCAAGCTTGTGCTTCCCGCCTCTCACCACAGCAGCAGCCAGGCTGCACAAGCACCGTATCATCATTCCGTCTGCGTACACCAACAACAGCATGGCAGTGTACAGCGGCAGCCTCCTCAACAGCAGCAGATGCCGCAGCAGTACCCTGCACCCCAAGCTCCCAACTACGGTCAGAACTTAATGGCTCATCAGTACTACCCAACTACACAACAGCAAGTACTACCAGGACATGTCTCCCCGACGGAAGCTCCGGGATCAACTCCGCCCCAGCTCAGCGTTTCCCATGCTGGCCAGGTAACGGCGGCGACAGCGACGGCAGCAGCCGCCGCTTCTGCCCCTTCTCCGATGGTGGCAGCGTTCACAGCAGCTTTCATGGAGAACCACCGGAAGTTAGCTGGTCAAGTCGGGCAGACAGCGGCTGCGTCAGTTCCAGCGCAGGCACCCGCGCAGGCACCCGCACTTCCTGCCGTTCAAGTCGGAGTCTTGGAGACAGCACCGGCGGAAACGGCGACCGCGTTTTCCTCCTCTCCGCCTGGGCAATCAGCGGCTGCGGCAGGGAGGGTGTTTACATCCGCACTCCCTGCCCCTCACGCCGGAGTCATCGCGACAGCACCGGCGGCAATCCCGACAAAATCTACCTCACAAGCCCCTGGGCAGATTGCGGCTGCTGCACAGAGACCACCTGCACTCGCACCTCCTGCTTTCCAAGACGGAATAGCAGCGGCACCAGCGGCGGCCGATTATGCTACCCCTCAAGTCCCGCCAGGATCGGCGGCTGTGGCGCCGCCGATCCAGGCGGGACCTCCTGCCCCTGAAGATGCGAAGTTTTCGGCGGCTGCGCCGCGGTCGCAAGAGGCGGCAGCCCCTACCCATGGGGTCGGAGCAGCGGCGGCAAGCGGCGTGGTACAAAAAGTCTGAAAAAGTTGGCGTCACCGTTGCCGATGGCGGCGCGACGAACCAAAGGGCGAGGGGACAGATGAACTTAGTATACAAGCGCATGTTGTTCGAGGCCCTCCTGGAGAAGCCNTCCTGCTTTCCAAGACGGAATAGCAGCGGCACCAGCGGCGGCCGATTATGATACCCCTCAAGTCCAGCCAGGATCGGCGGCTGTGGCGCCGCCGATCCAGGCGGGACCTCCTGCCCCTGAAGTTGCGAAGTTTTCGGCGGCTGCGCCGCGGTCGCAAGAGGCGGCAGCCCCTACCCATGGGGTCGGAGCAGCGGCGGCAAGCGGCGTGGTACAAAAAGTCTGAAAAAGTTGGCGTCACCGTTGCCGATGGCGGCGCGACGAACCAAAGGGCGAGGGGACAGATGAACTTGGTATACAAGCGCATGTTGTTCGAGGCCCTCCTGGAGAAGGTGAGGGATTCGCACCGGCTCAGCCATAGAGGGGCGAAATTCACGTGGAAGACGAGAGCGGTGGACTACATTCCCGAGCAAAAAACCCTGTTCGAGTCCGTCCGCAAGAAGTGGCTGCAGCTGCCTCAAGAATCGAGGATGAAGTANGTATACAAGCGCATGTTGTTCGAGGCCCTCCTGGAGAAGGTGAGGGATTCGCACCGGCTCAGCCATAGAGGGGCGAAATTCACGTGGAAGACGAGAGCGGTGGACTACATTACCGAGCAAAAACCCCTGTTCGAGTCCGTCCGCAAGAAGTGGCTGCAGCTGCCTCAAGAATCGAGGATGAAGTACAGGTGCGCCAACTACCTGGACAACCCCTTCCCGACGGATTCCACCGCTCGGTACTGGTTCAACGAATGCAGGACGGCCTACCACAAACACAGGCAAACGTAAGCAACTTTTTTATTATTGTCCCAGACTACACATTGTTTTTTTTCACAAGAATCGAGGATGACGTACAGGTGCGCCAACTACCTGGACACCCCCTTCCCGACGGAGTCCACCGCTCGGTACTGGTTCAACGAATGCAGGACGGCCTACCACAAACACAGGCAAACGTAAGCAACTTTTTTATTATTGTCCCAGACTACACATTGTTTTTTTTCACAAGAATCGAGGATGACGTACAGGTGCGCCAACTACCTGGACACCCCCTTCCCGACGGAGTCCACCGCTCGGTACTGGTTCAACGAATGCAGGACGGCCTACCACAAACACGGGCAAACGTAAGCAACTTTTTTATTATTGTCCCAGACTACACATTGTTTTTTTTCACAAGAATCGAGGATGACGTACAGGTGCGCCAACTACCTGGACACCCCCTTCCCGACGGAGTCCACCGCTCGGTACTGGTTCAACGAATGCAGGACGGCCTACCACAAACAC